GTATTTTTGTTTTGTTTTATTGGTATGCATATTTTTTTAGGTTTTTTTTTTAATCCCGCCTTTATTATTTTTATGAATAACTCAAGGCGGCGAACATACCTAATACTCCTTCCTCCTCCTATTTTGCTACAGGGCATGATAATTTGGTAGATTTTACACTCAATTGATTTCATAGCATTCTGCTTTAGGGAAGAGTGTGGGGATTGGGGCTGAGGGGATTCTATTTGGTACAATCATCTATCTTCTTGAGGCTGTATTCAGTTAGTGGCAGTGATGTGGGGGAGTGGAAATGCAGGGAAACACATCTGTGGGAATATTTAAAAAGCTGGAACAATTATATCGCCTGCCAGAGAACTGTTTTAGTTGATTTTTAAAAATTTTTGCTCTAGCAAGTCAACGCAATGATAGGCATTTAAGATTTGTTATTGTTTGCAGCATATCAGCCTAGCAAAAATCAGAGAATGTGGGCAATAATCAAGCAGATAATGGATCCTTGTTTCCATTTCTTTGAAGAGGTCCCTACTTCATACAAGCAGTATAAACAACAACAATTATTTGCAGGGCTGCTGGCTGGGAACTGTTGAAATTGAAATCTATCTCATCCAAAAGGTACCAGGTCGGGGAAGACAGCTTTAGAAGAACAGAACAAATATATTAATGTTATACAAGGCAGTTGAAAAACATATTTGATCCTTTTCAAGTGTATATGCATACCTTTGAAGAGTGCATTTTTCATATTCCTACAGTTTGCTGCCAAAATTGACCAAGTTGAAGATTTTCTGCAGTATTCCCAAGAGTTTGAGAATCCTGAATCCCTGAAAGCACTCTTGCACCAGCACAAACATCATACAAAAGGTACTGAAGGGGATGAGAGCATCTTGTTTTACAAGGAGGCATTTAGAGTGAGGTGTTTCTAAATAAAAGTTGGTTACAACTTCTTCTAAAGTTAATGTTCTTGGTCACGGTTGAAATCTTGCAAGTTATGTAAAATAACACAGATGTCATAATATCTGCCTTTTCCTAAAGTGTGTTAGATTAGCCCTGAAGAGAGCTCGATTTAAATTCTGTGCATAGTTTCCATCATTCAACTCAGCCTGCATCAAGGACTGTTGTGAGAATAACATGGAGGAGAACCGTTTATGCTGTCGTGTCACTGATCTCAACAAGTCTGTTTAACTATTGACTAACGGTTTCTCTCTACTTCAGCTAATCACAGCATAAACATGTCCTGGCAACATCTTTTTTTTCTGCTGTGTCCCCATCTTATCCTAGGGGCCAAAGTGAGATGGCTTAAGTCATCCATAACTGTATCAGTTATTCTGACGCCATCTGGGGCAGCCTCTCCATGTAGGAAATCTGTTGGGGTTTGTCACTGTTGATTTTGGAGGGAAGCCAGCTGATTGGCCATGACAAAGAGGCAGGATAGGGATTCGGAGCAGATCAGCACATTTCATGCCAATATAATTTTCTGCCAGCTCAAGGATGGATAGAGAATACTTCTACTGTGCAGCAGGAAAATTCCTAAGACTGGACCTGATTAAATTTACATATTGCTCTGCCCAGTCATCAGAGTCTCCCACAGTCACTTCATCACTGTAATACTTGACCAGAGATATCACAAGAAAAAGAAGTCTCAGCTATCATTAGCATAACTGGCTCCTCTTGGTGCATCTAGTGATTCAATTGGATTTGGCACGACTGTACTCTCTGGTGCAGGAACTGGGATCAGTGTATTTGCTGGATGGCTGGAGGATTTGAATCAATGCACCTGGTGCATCCAAAATCTGGAAAAGATTTCAGTAGTCCATTAATTCTCTCTCTCTCTTTCTCTGAGGCAATGGTGACAGAAGACTTCATTTTATTTTATATACTCTTTCTTCCATGAAGCTTCAGGCAGAATAAGCTTTAAATTGAAAACCACATGAAATTAAACCCAGGCATGCCTAAACATCTTGAACAAATGGCTTTCCCCTTGGCAAGTTGAATGCAGCCCTCAGATCCTGGGGTTACTGCCCTTTGTTCAGATAGCCCATCATGACTGTGGCTCTTTTTAAATAGTTGTTTGTTTCCATTTTTAATTTTGTATGTAATGATTTTCTTCCTTAGCCCACTTACTTCAGCAATCAGATGTGTTTACTATTTCGAGACCCTCCTGTGTGATACATCTGCTCTGTTTTTGGAATCTGTGGTCTTGATTAGGTGAGCTGATGTGGTAGGGACTAGACCATTAACCCTGTTCTGAAAGAAGAGGGTAGACTTGATAGTGTTTGGATTCCCTGCTATACTATGATTTTAGAATCAATGCATCATCACTAGAGTGGAAACAGGGTTTGGAGAGGTGAGGCACTATCAGGTCTTACTGTTATCCTGTCCAATGAGATACGTCATTTTCTCTCTCCTGCAAAAGTCATGTCTTATCTTTGAGGTATGTTTAATGCAGCAGATTTGACTCTCCACGCATAGATATTGGCAAAATGAACAGGGCACACATTGGCAGTAGCAGCCCTAGCATAGGGAAGATGAATGGCATTCCCAAAAATTCTGATTATCCATGCATTTCAAACATAATGGCGTTATGAGAAAGCTGTCCACAAGTGAGTTATTTTTCCACAGCAATTCAGAAGTAGTATCTGAATTAGGTTTGGAAGCATGGAATTAAAAAAGGAAAATCGGTATATGTATCATGTTATAGACAGATTTTCCTTTCTTAATTCCATGCCCCCAAACCTGATTCAGATATTACTTTTCAGTTGGGTAGAGGACCAAACTATGATTGAAGAGGAACTTGAGGAAGAGGTCTTCAATTTTGGATGCTTGCATCTTCCTTCAGCAATCCCCATCACACCTTACTGCTAAGAATCCCCAACACTCAGAGGAGAGGTTGCAGAAGTGCAGTAGTTCCATAGTTGCATGGCTCATTGTGCTAAACTGAACGCAGCTCAATCTGAGACAGTCAAAATCTCCATCAAAATTAACTTCTTTAAAATATTTTCAGCAGCATAGCACAGCACAAAAAGATCACAACAGTCTTCCAACTCTTAGAAGGGCTGTTTTCTAAGGAAGTACGAAGCAGTTCTGGCTGTCCCATCCTAGGTGTAATGTATTAGGAAACAAATTTACCCTCAGCCATTGAAATTCACTGGGTAACTTCAGACCAGTCAGCCCAATCTATGTCATAAGGTTGGTTTGGAGATAAAATGAAGGGAGATCTCTTAAACTGCCTTGAATTTCCACAGAGAGGTGGCATGCATATCTAAAAAATAATAATACAATAGTTGCATCTGAAAACAAATCCTATCCATATGTTAATGTATTTTTCATCCAAGAGGAAAGCCTAGTTTAGTGGGATACCATCTTGGGATACATTTTACAGGGAAAGGCAGCTGTCATCATTTTGGGGACCCAAGGGACATTTTCAAGAAACAAAAATGAGCGAGAAAGTGTTGACTTGGCTGAAAATGTCAGTCAAGTAATGTATTGTCGAAGGCTTTCACGGCCGGCATACGATGGTCTTCCGGGCTGTGTGGCCGTGTTCTGGAAGTTTTGTTTCCTAACGTTTCACCAGCACCTGTGACCGGCATCTTCAGAGTGCAGGAGAGTGCAATTCAATAGAAGAAAAACCCCTGCCTAACCCCCAGGAAGATACACATAGATTCTGACACAAAAACAAGCAGCCACTCAGTAACCCAACACACACCCCCCACCCCCCCCCCCCCCCCCCCCCCC